TCCCTTGTCTTTTTGACGAGTTTATGGATTGGTGCCGGAAATGGCAAGACTCACTGATGATGCCGCTACAATGCCGACGAAACGTCTGAGAATGTACCAAGTTATGGTCATATGCTGGGTACTATGATTACTACTATGGCAGAGGACTTCGGACTATGTGCCTTCAGCTAAGCCGCTCTGGCAACAAGACCAAGTTGCGAAAACGAGGTCAACCTACTTCTAAGAATGTTCCAGTTTAACCAATTGACAACTGGTCAAGAGGAATACGCCGTCGTTTTCTGGCGGGAGCGATCTTCGAAGCTCTTCACTTTCACTCGAACTAGAAGTGTTCCAAAATATTTGTATTTATATTCTCTAGCATAGGAGTGTTTTGGTTAATTATATAATACTGCCGCAGTGTTTTTTGAGTATTAATAGGAATATTTGTGTTCAAGAGTATAATAGTTCTGAAGAGATGAGAACCAAATGCATCATAATCGGTTAATGGTTCGATTCAACTCAGTTCATTGAAGTGAGGAGGAAAATTCAGCTTCTTAAAATGTAGACTTGCAATCCTCGTGGAAAGTTGAAAAAAAGGTGATAAATTACCATTGGCCATTGTCGCAACCGCCAGATTGCCAGAGTGAAAATTAACCTCTTTTAATTTTTCAGAAAATTTTCTAGAGAATTTAATATGTGTTATGCTATCATTGGCGTAATTTAAACTTGAAATTAATTATTGTAGATCTGCATGTGTAGAGACAAGTGTTATTTATTAGTAGTATATTTCAAAACGGCATTTTTACATCTACTAAAGCGGTAGCAACTTCTTCACGAACTGCTGTCAGATTCGAGCGAGATATGCTAATTACCAGAGTCAACCGCCAGAACTGGGCTCACATTGAGGAAGTGGATGTGACGTGATGCGAAGCGCAACCCTATGAAAAAGCCGCAGAAATGGGTGAGCGGGAGAGCGGTCGACAGAAAAGATGTGGGTTTGCTGGGGTGGGGACAATGAAGGCATAGACTCCTGTCTCGTGAATAGCGGTGTATTTGGTTGTGCTGGTCGTTGTGGAGAGGGTGGAAAGAGGAGCTTATTAAATTACCCGACGGGACGCCTACGATTGCCCGCGGAAGACGGCAAATTGACGTGCCGAAGGAGAAGGGTGAAGTGCCCAAAGCATAGACAGGTCGTGGTTGATTTGGCAGAAGAAAGAGGGGCATAAAGGGAGAGAATGACAGAAAATGAAAGGGCGAGCGAGGGATAAAGAAACGAAAGAGATACTAACTTTCCCTAATATTGCCTTTTCTGGTATATTCTGTGTCATAGAAATGTCAAGCTTGGATGGCACACGTCATTTCGGTCTTTAGATTCTCTACTTATTTGCCTTTTTTCTTACTTTATTTTTGAACCTTTTTATTCTTGATTTTACTCAAGCTTCATAATTCTTCCTAACTTTTTTCACACGATATTAGTATGCACGTGTATATTCTCCGTTGGGCTTGTGTGGGGAACGTGAGGTTTTAGCTTTTGTGGCTTGACAAGAAGTTAAGTTCTAATTTCATTTTTATTTTGAGTACGTGGATGAAAGAAGCGTTATGTAGGAAAGAAAGGATAACTAACTGAACGCCTGGGGAAATAAGTGGGAGACAGAATTAAATAGTGTCAACCTTTACTATCCAGCTTTAGTATGCGATTGCATCCGCATTTTTCTGGGCTTATTCGATCTTTCTGGCTCTCGCAAAGCCTTGATATTCTATTTAATTCTCATTGTCATGTGATATACCACCAAACACATAGTTTTTCACATAGTCACTCTAGCGAGTAGAAAGGTTTTCCTTTTGGCCACTCGACAAGGCAAGTAACTTCGACAATTCCTACGTGATACTATGCCGGCTAGAAGAACGTTATGGCCGCGATACAAACGCACCTGCACTCGTAAAAGGAAGTCAAATTTGAGGTGTTTAGTTAGACAATGAAATGAAGGTCCACTTGTCAACATAAGCCAGAGGTATTCATTACTCAAGAGGCCGACATCACATTCTAGCTGAGGAAGATACCTGATACAAAGCCTAGAGATTCTAATGCCTTAGGGGCTGATGGCCCAGGGGAAGCCATAGAAACCCATTCGAAACGAAAAAGAACATGTACACTATTTTCAATGGGGCTGGGAATGGCGGTAGGCGGTAGGTAGACTACTGAGTTGATCACTGAAAGTGTATGAAAACTTATCATGAATGGATTAACAACTATTTAACGAAAACAAGAATTTAATGCACAATTAACGTGGTCATTGAGAATTAACTGAAATAATTACAGTGGTAGAAATTACAGAAAAGACTAAGCCCGAAATTCTGGTAAAATTAGAGGATGGTGAGGGAAGGGAAATAAGAAAAAAAGGCGAGGCTGAAAGGGGACTTGAGACAAGAGATGAGAGCAGAAGGGAAGAGAGGAATGAAGTGACTTATATCGATAAGAGAAATATGATAGAAGGGATGCGAACAGAAAATATGACAGAGGATTTGGGTTGAAGATTTTATAGAACTCGCCTAGCTACACCGTGAAAAGGTCTGCTAGCTGAATGGACTTGAATTTCCTTGTCCATTGGAAGTCTCCATAACCGTTGCTACTTTGTCTGCACTTGTCTAACAATTTCCGATCCGACCACTATTTTATGGTAAAGCTGTCCTACTTCAGGTTATCTTATACCCGCTTGCACCGTTGTGCCATTTCAAGCTTTTGTCCTCCACCAGTCTTCTGCACGTCTTAGTCACTCCGGATTACCTAAACAACTTGGCAGAAAATAGAGATAGAAGGATGCCTTAAACAAAAGTGAGGGAAAAGATCGTGGGCTAAGAGAGCTGCATGGGAAATATGAGGCTGGAGGTTATTAGCTGATGAAGAAGATATAATAGGGATATGCAATCATTTCTTCCTGGGTTTTGGCAGTTGGTGGACAAGCCGGAACTAAGGTCACATATGGCGAGGACCTGCTTCGGATGCCAGCAAAGAGTCGTCTAAAATAGGGGTAGAGGGTAGTTCTTAGTAATCACCGGGCTTTAAGAGGGATGTAGTCACGGGGCTGGCTGTTGACACTTGTCCGTAAACCACATGTGAATGTGTTTGTCTATGCTTGTCGGTGTGGCCTGAATACTTTAAGGCAGTTAGAGAGAACAAGCACCCTTTTTTCATTGTAATTAAGCATATAAATCATAGGATATGCTAATTATACGTACTATTTATAAAATGCCTCATCCAGACAAAACATCTTGGCATTAGTTACGTTTAAACTTCAACGATGATTAAAGAGAAGTGGGTAGGTGGGGATAATTTTCTCAAATGTATATATTATCTGCTTAATTTATCATTTTTTATAAAGTATTTTCCAAAACCCATCTCCGAAATTTCTCAAGCTTCTTTTTCAAATTGCTTTCATATTTTCTTTCTTCTGACTGTCGTTTGATTGGATAGGGTAAAAATTTGGGAGAAAAGGAGGGAAAGATCTCGGAGAGTAATTAATCTTTATTTACTATGGAAGATATGAAGACCAAGATGGTGTAGCCTTTTGTGTGGTCGCAGTCTCTTTTCGTTGTATACGAATTGTTTGACCTTGCTTTTGCAACTTGGTCATATTATAGATAAAAGAGAAACTTGGTTTCGATTAATCTCCTGAGATAACATTGTTAGGAGAACTTTAATTTCGAATGAAAGTGCATGAAGAAGAGATTCGTTTGTTGATCTCACCAGATGAGAACGGATGAAAATCGTTGTACTGCAGCCGTTCGGCTTTTATATGATATTCATGT